AGTTAAATAAGAGTAAGTTTTGTCATCCGTCACTTTAAATCCAATTGATGTGAATTCTGATCGGCTGTCAAAGTTATTATTGTCCATCAGCTGGAGCTTTGGAAGGGATTCTCTGTGTTATTATCGTTATAGTTATGGTGTAAACTTTGCTTCATTAAAGCGATTATTAAAACTTTATGGTTTTTGGGGTAAGGCCTGTTCAAATCAATGACTATAACGACAACGATAAAGTTACAGTGATTGGTTTGAACAGGCTTTACCCCAAAAAACTGAATATCAGAAAATTTCTGTCTGCCCAAAAGTAATAACCACCAATCATTTCACAGATTGAACTCAACCAAACCAATACAGTTGAGTGACTGAAACAAAACTCTGAATATCTTTCCAGGATTTTACAGGTTTAACCTGACAAACTTTGTCAAATCCAGTGACCATGAGAACCCCAGGCACACTGAACCTGTATCTGGTTTACCGTGAGTTTCTTCGGATAAAAGCGGCAGGACTTGCTGTCAATCACTCCTGAAATGTCAACGGCAATGTCTGTGAAGTTGTCCTTTCACTAGCGGTCACTGCATGCCCTCAAGTGGCTAAAACAACGGCCACCCACATGCAGTAATTAATTCCCCCGCCAGAGCAGAGCGGCTTCACTTTCACAGATCAAATCTTAGGAGCGTCTGGATGCAAAGTTATGAGAGGTCAAGCCATGCCAACTCAACTCAACTCAACTCAACTCAACTCTGTAGGGCTGAAAACACATGCACCAACCCTAAAACGCTTCAAATGCTCATGAAGAAAGGACTGATGGAGGACACCAGCGAATAAAGTTTCTAACTGAGACCCATGAGAACAAAATGAGCTGAAAGGAGGTAAATAAAACACAATTTTCTCAACTCTATTCACTGGTGTCACTGTTGGAAAGTAAGTGGACGTGAAATACACGTGAGATGTCATATGAAAAGAAAAAGTGTCTCCTTAGCAATATTTACTAGCTGATTATCATGCCAATGCAATAACGCCAGTCTATTATGTTCTCAAACACTGCACAAAATCAAATCTCAAATCTTTGGAAATGGAGAGACTAATTACTAATCTGAATTGAAACGAACCTCAAATGACCTATGAAATTATCTGAGAGTTGTTAGTTAATAAATTAAAGGTTCTCCCCTGTGCCTGTCATCATTAATACACTTGAATTATTTAATGAGGATTAGATGAGCACTAATTAAAAATTATCCAAAAACTTTTTTTTTTATACAAGGATGGAAGTTAAAATTGGTGCACTGAAAAAAATTGGTGTGGAAGCTATTTTCACTCAGAAATTGCTAGTAAATTTCACAAATAGTTACAAAGAAAAGGCAAGTAATGCATTGAATCAAACATGACATTTTGAAAGACTGAAATAATATTGTCTTGTAAAACATACTCCAATAATCTTTGTTTTATTTACAAATTTTAGTTGTTTTAGGTTAAAATTTACCATTTTTAACAGTGTGGGGAAACAAATAAAACGTTTAAAAATCAGACACTGCAAAACACATATTTATCATTTACAAAGCACCGCATGAGATAAAAATAATATATATCACATATATATTCGTTTGCACTTATTTAGTTCCCTTGTTTTAATTAAATCATGACCACGATTTAAGAATTTATTTCCTCATTTTTGTAAATCGTGGTCATGTTGTACTAATTTGTTCTCTTGTTTTAATTAAATCGAAATGAAATAGTGCAATGTGGCCATGATTTAAAAACAAACAAACACTGATTTATTCAAATCCGTGCCAATGATTTAATTAAAACAAGGGAACAAATTAATAAAACGAGGGAACTAATTCTTAATTTTTGGCCACTATAATTTTTTTTGTTTTTCACATGTCACGTATGTGGCTCCGAAATCAAAAACCATTACAAACTCTAATCAATGTCTATTTTAATCACAGCTGATAATAACAACAGCTGAAAATCTCTCAAGTCTCAAACTGCTGTGATTTTACATACAAGTACCGTAGCTGTGTGTGTGTGTGTGCGTGTGTGTGTGTGTGTGTGTGTGTGTGTGTGTGTGCGTGTGTATGTGTGTGTGTCTCTGAAACCCCGGGTGTTTGCTCATCTGCCATGCTAATGAGCTTGTATGAGTGTGTGCGTGTGTGTGTGTGAGTGTGTGTGTGCGAATGTGCGTGCGTGTGTGTGCGTGTGTGTGCATGTTCCATGCATCTGTAATGAGAGCAGACAGTTCAATCCTGATGTCAAAGTGCTCACAGTACAAAGTCAGTGCGTGTGAGAACCGTTCACACATGATGGTGGTGTGTGTTTGCTGCAGATAGACCTGTCTATATTAATACGGAGCAGAGGAACACAGGTAATCTCCTGCTGGCTGACAGCTAGTTAAACACGCCGGTCCAGCCTGCTTTCTTTAATACATCACACACACTTACAGAACAAGTATCTGCAGCCCGCTCTCACACACATGCGAAAAATGAAGAATCAAATATAAATCCACCACGAATAAGATACAAACCTAGAATAAAATAATCCATAATAACACTTCCTCCAGTGAAAAAGTGCATCTCCTGTTGTCTCTCACGGTGGCCTGAGGGTGAGTAAATTTTCAGAAAAATGTACATTTTTGTGTGAACTATTCCTTTAAACTCATATCAGCATAACTAAAATTGCCCTATGCGATTCACCACAAAGAACAACACAAATAACAAGATGTTTTGCATAAGAAAAGACTCATTTCACATTTGTCTCCTCTAAAGCTTCAGAAAATCTCCAAATATTTATTTCATAGCACCAAACTCTAAGACAAACCATCTGAGACAAAGCTCATATATGAAACAACTGACAAACACATATTCTAGTTCTTCATCCTTAAACCCATATCAACATAATCAAAAGTCTCCTGAGTGATTCCAACCACAATAAAGAGCAAAACAAACAGATTTCTCTCAGATTTGGCCGCTCTCATGTGTGGCAGCTGTGCATGATGGGATTCAAAATGCATCAAAGCGTAAAGTGGATATTAACCTTGACGTAATGAGTTTATCTCCAGCTGAAAACAGCCAAATAAAGGAGAAATGAAACGCACAAACACAAGCATGAGACTCTAAACAGCAGCATCTCTCTCTCGGGAAGCAGAATGTCAATGAGAAGGTCAGAAGCGCTGGCCTCTCTTTTACTCGCAGCACAAAGCAGTCTGGCCTTTGGAAAGCAGTAATGAAGGATAATCTCTGAAAGACGGGTTAGATATGATGCCGGCCAGACTGACAGCCGCAGGTCGCTCAGGAAGAAAGAATGGGAAAACATCAGTGTCAGAGAACAGCTACGAGCTGCCAGACGCCCTGCGCTCCTCCAGATTCATCAAGAGCCCACCTGACAAAGAGCAAACACAAACAACAAGCACCAGCCAAAGCCTAATTAGACTGAAGGGGTGGGATCCTGACGGACCAAATCAAACAATCAGCTTTTCTGAACAAAGACGTCCTTCATTCAAGGACACAGAACTCAACTTCTGCTCTAGTTTGGGCTCAGATTCACAGAGGAACTCTCTAATGAGTCGTTTAGCATGCAAAAAAGTCAGAAAAATTAAAGAAAATAACCTCAACTCATAAATGGCACCTAAATTTTTATAATCATAATGCAAAATAACCAACCCACTGTCACGCTGAAGCAACAAATTAAAGCATTGTTACACTGTGCATATACTCTGCATCTCTGTTTTAATTCAAGGATTTTTTTGCACAACGTTGGCCAACTAAACAACACAATAATAAAGTGGTTTTCTCCAGAAAGTGTCTTCCTGATGATTAAATTACGCTATTATACTTAACTAAAACTGAAACTAAAATTAAAACTATTTTAAAAAAATCGTTACTTGAAATAAAACTAAACAAATAAAATGAAATAAAATATTAAAAACCCTTTTTATTTAGTTGCCAAGGCAACATTTCTTATTTTAAGTTAGTTTAACTTGATGAATTAAAATAAATACATCTAAAACTGAAAATAATAATTCATTAAAAATTAATTTAAAAACTACTGAAAATAATAAATGACAAAATGAAAATGCAACATATAAAAATAAAAACTAATCCAAAATAAAAACTATAAACAAAAAATAAAAATACCATTATTATATTATTATTAAAATTTTTTCCCCTAAAAATCTAATTATCTATTCAACCTGTATTTTAATTCTTCATAACCAAGCCAAGTAAAATATACAAATTGTCATGTCCTCATCGTGAACAGTGAAATCCACGTTAAAAAGAACACTGTGTATTAACACAGAGTTTAAATACAGCATTTTGTCATTATGTAACTAGATTCTATTTCAAAACATTTCAAAACATCCACACTGCTACATTTAAATTCAAAAAATGGAACCTGCAGCAGATTAAAAAATGGAACTGACACCAAAGAGCCACACATTCCCAAACATTCTCTTTTTGTGTTCCATTTAAAAAAACAACAGCACACAGGTTAGGAAATGACATGAGGGTGAGTTAAATAATGACAGAATTCATTCTCAGGTTAACTAGTCCTCAAACAGGTAAACCCGCAGTGCGTCAAAGAGACCCTGATGTTCTTTGTTTTCACTCACATCAGCAGACGGCTGCTGAATTTCTCTGCGGGTCGATCAATACAGCCGGTTTCCCTGCTTCTGTCATTCCCTCTGACACTCACGGCCCGCGGGAGTCCGTTTCACCCATGAACCCCGGGCCGCCCCGCTCTATTCATCTCCGTAATTGTCTGTATGAATTATGTACCTGGCTCGGAGGGTGAATATGAATCCATTACTCTCTACTTCAATTATCAGAGCGGACATTATGGAAAATGACAGGAGAAATGATTACTGGATTCATGAGATGTAATATGCATGACCTCCCAGAGTTGTGTACATTCATCTATCACTCCATATCTTTGCATTCATGGACAATTTTTCTTCATCCAGCACCCGAGGCACTAAACGGAGAGGAAAGCAGAGAGGAGACACTTACCAGAAATATCCTCTCCAGCTGATCCTGAATGTCCTTCATGCCCGGGAATGCCGCCACTCCCTGGATCATTTCCACGAAGATGCATCCGACACCCCTGAAACACAAACAAACAGCACTGACTCTCTAACCCTCAGAAAGTGAAATGGTGATTTGTGCATGAATATCAGAATCAAAACAGCTTGTAACGCTCAGATGAAAAGCAGAAAAGCAGGAACGAGCTTGATTGTTTTGTAACTGTAACTGCATGCAAGCATCAGTGTGATTAAACATTCAGAACAAGCCTTCACATAAGGGATTCCCAAACCTTTTGTCAGCTGAACCCATCTGAGCTAAAATATTTACTTAAGACAGGGTTATTATAGTTAACTGGAACTAAAAGTTACTTGAAATAAAATGTTGACTGAAATCAAATCTAAAATATGTAAACTTATTTTGTTTCAGCTAGTTTCCAGAGCAACATTTCTAATTTTAATTCACTTTCATACCTGCAAACTCTCAAGAGGTGGAAAAGATGACATGTTTGCGAATGTAATCCTTGTAGGGGGTCTGAAGAAAATTTCTGTGCATGCCAATGAAACATTATGGCGCACTCTGACAAAATAATTAAGGGAAAAGATGACATTTGCTTCAAGTAAAAAAGCAAAACACACATTTATTGACACCACTTAAACTTTTTGGAACACCAGCCACAACTTCATGCTGAAAATGTTTATTTCTTCTGTCTTTCGGCATGCACAAGTCTTTCAAGTGCCCGTTATCGCATTTTTTATAAATTGTAAGCATTTCGTTATAACTAATTACAAAGTAATTATTAGAGCCCGACCGATATATCGTTTAGCCGATATTATCGGCCGATATGAGCCTGTCGCCGATATATCGTTATCGGCGAATATGCTGCCGATATGAACTTTTTTTTTTTCAGAACATATAACGCAGATAAAATGCTTGGAATGGTGTAATTACTTAGTTTGTCCAGCAGAGCGCGCTCATATTAGTAATTTAGTTTTTGCCATTTGTAGTACAGTAGTTTTTGTTTTTTATATACTGTATGTCTATAGAGTTTTTATGCATCTTTATTTCAGTTCTTGTTTGAGTTACTTTAATATATCAAATATTGAAAAATGAAATGAAATGAAAATGTTGCCTTGACAACTAGAAGAAATTATTTTCTAATATTTTATTTCATTTCAGGTCATGTTTATTTCAAGCAATTTTTTTATGCTTTTAGTATTAGTTTTTAGTTAACTATAATAACCCTATAATGGACCCTTTTCACAAGACTGTGATGACGCTTTTAACGGTCATCAGCATCGTAAATCCTCTAAAGTTTTTCATATTTGTATTTTTTTTTAAATGTATGTACATTTATAACACTATTCTTTGTATTATATCACCTTTGCATCAAATTACAAAAAAACAGTTAACGCTAATGCTGTGTTTTTAATGCAGCGTCGATTCATGCATTTATTTTTTAAATGCGTTATTTTGATTCACGCTTATTATTTTTCGATCTGTGACCATTGTTTGCTATTCTGAAAACTTTGCTTTCATTTTTAAACTTTGTGCAATATTATTTTTACTTGCGTTTTAAAATTTTGGTTTCATGCTTATTATTTTTTATCCGTGACTGCAATACTTTTGGCGGAAAATTTATCCCATAATTGACAAACATCTGATCTTGTGAGATGATTTACACAGAGTGAAGTGAAAGTGAACAGCGAGCGCTCATTCAAAACGGTCATCAGCATCGTAAATCCTCTAAAGTTTTTCATATTTGTATTTTTTTTTAAATGTATGTACATTTATAACACTATTCTTTGTATTATATCACCTTTGCATCAAATTACAAAAAAACAGTTAACGCTAATGCTGTGTTTTTAATGCAGCGTCTCTGGGAGGCTCTCTCTTTGACTGCCGTTATCAGTCTCTCTCAATTTTTTTCCTTTTATTGAAAGTCACGAAAACACTATTGTGGAGTTTTTCTTTTGCTATTTGAGCAAATGGGAATGCAAAAAATATATATCTGTGGTACTCTCCCATTCACTGCTCTTCAAGTTAACCCAACTATGACGACTTCCGCTGCTGGACAAACATCTGATCTTGTGAGATGATTTACACAGAGTGAAGTGAAAGTGAACAGCGAGCGCTCATTCAAAAGCAGTTTCAATACCCCACATACTGATAGCGCGAAAATTATATCGAATATTAGAAAGTTTGTGGGAGTGGGCGGTAACGGTCAGAAATTCAGAGAACAGTCCCACGCAGGGCTTTGATCCCAAGCCCAGAGCAGCCCTCTATCATGTGGATCAGTTTGCTCATGTATGACCTGATCTGAACCCATGTGAGAGCAAAGAAAGAAGTCAATATTTGACTATATTAAGATCACACCGCCCTGCATCATATTTGCTGAATGAAATCCAATACATCTCTTACTAATTTTGAGCTGCTGATTCCAGAAATAGTGTCTATTTTGCTCAAGCACGTCACACTTTATCACAAAATATGATGAATTTGTAGCATTTTTGCTTTTACAACCATTTGTGTGGTGAAGAAGTCTTATATTTTTCCTTAATCAGCAGAAAAACACACGATTCCTGTCTGAATCTGAGCCAGATTACAATTATCTGATCAATTCTCAGCTCATTTTCACATGCATGACTTTATTTTATTTCTAAATATTTCATGGTTAGAATTATGATCCATTGACAGAAGAAAATGCAAACATAAGCCAACTGTTTTCAGCTTTTACTGCATCCAAACAGCCACAGAAAATCACAGATTTTGTGAAATACGATTATTTATTTATAAACTTGTTAATGAAAAATAGTAAAATATTTGAACATATTTTGAGTATTTGAACATATTTTCTCACTCTCTTGTAGATTGTAAGTTAAATTATATATTTTGAATACTTCTGTTTGTCAGAAACTTTTGTCATATGACTGCTTTTATTTTAATATGTGCATTAAATCTGATACATTTATATATAAAATTGTTTTGTGAAAACACTACATGATGGAAAGTTTTTAAAGTTTTTATTGAACTCATCATTATTAAATTAGGTCATATTAGGCAAAAGAGGAGGGCTGTTATTAATTTTATTAATTAT